GGGGGGGGGGGGAGGAGCTTGTTTTCTTGCCTTACTATTATATGCAGAGCTGTCCGAATAATACAGAGTAAGAGTTGTGAGTGACCTCAGTGAAAGCATTCAAGATTTCATTCTAAGTACAGGTGGCAGGCCTAAGCTGCTAATCAGAATAGGCTGTTTGAACTTTCCAGTCATGGTGCAAACAATGTGATATCTGCTTCCATGAAGATCGTTGTTGTGTGAAGCATCACACTGATTCCAATTAATAGTGACCCTCTAGGGCAGAGTAGAACTTTCCCAGTTTCCAAGGCTGCAATCTTTATAGAAGCACATCCCCAGGAATTTCAACCGCAGACTTTACAGTTAGCAGCTGGCCACTTAATTACTGTTTCACCCGAAGCCTCAGCAACCCTATTGGATAGTTCTACTATAACCTATAGGCTATGAATTGGAAATCGACTGGATGGCAACAGGTTTGGTGTTTTTGTTTTATGGATGTTGGCTGAAGGTATGCATAGATACCCTTTTATCAAAAGGTTTCCTGACCAGGATTCCAAGACCTCTAGGGTTTCATAAGATGTCATTAAGGGTTCCCCACGACATTGTGTCATTTAAAAAATTAAACATGGTTTTTGCATTTCACGCACCATGCACCCTGACACTGAGTGACTGGCAGTGGAGCAGGCATGTCAATGATTTCAGTATTAATCTCTCACCCCACATGGAAGTACATGCAGCATGTGCTGTCAGAGCTGTGTTCATCTGACTACACTCGTTATTTGACACAACAAAGGACAGCTGATGAAAACCGGGTCAGCTGTATATTGTACAGAGAGGCACTCAGTAAGCTGACGATACTAGCAACTTCCTTCCAAATTACCAACTTCCCTAATCGCCCCTGTTGTTGGCTGCCATCAGTCCCTGAGTTTAGTGGCCTCGTTTTCTAAACTGTAATCCTTATGGATGCAGCACTCCAGGTCTGTATCCGGTGTCTAGTACAAACTACACTTGCACTTCCAAGTCTGCATACAGAGTACCGACTGACTTATGGGCGCAAGCAAGCTTGACGATGCAACAGACAATCTGTAAGAAACCTCCATTCTAAACAAGAAGTTTTCCATACCATAACTCATCTATCTTCTGCAGCTTGCTGTTGTAAATGCTACAAAACACAGACCATGTGGTTATATACTTTTGTTATTCCCATTTAGTCTTACAATCTATTAGCATTTGTGTTTAATAATGTATCTGACAATCCAGCAGTGTGGTGATAAAGATGACTGCAACGATACACTGCAGTGAGATATAAAAAGGTCAACCATTGCAATGCAAACTACAGGCAATCTAAGTTATCCTATTCCCCAGTGTGCCATCTGTGGCAAACAACTTACCATAGAGCAGTCGTTTCAACCTTCCTAATGCCGCGACCCTTTAATACAGTTCCTCATATTGTGGTGACCACCCCCAACCATAAAATTATTTTCCTTGCTACTTCATAACTGTCATTTTGCTGTTATGAATCGTCATGCAGGATATATTTTCATTGTTACAAATTGAACATAATTAAAGCACAGTGATGAAAACATTATGTAATTATATACTATGAAATATTTATTTCTAATTACAAATAAATGAAATTTTGTCTTGAAGCATGGTGTAGCATGGGTAACAGTCTTCACGCCAGTACTCATATGTGGGTATATCTGCATGTGGGCGACCTGCCTGGACACAGATAGAGGAGCGGTGTCTCGGTTCCTAAGACCATCGAATATATGTGTTTTCCGATAGTATTAGGCGATCCCTGTGAAAGAGTCCTTCAACCCCC